TTCCAGTTGCTGGCCGAGGCCTATGGCTGGCGTGGGGCCCTGCTGCTGGTGGGCGGCCTCTCCTTCCACCTGGTGGCCTGCGGGGCCCTGCTGCGGCCTCTGGCGCTGCCCATCAGCCCCAGCACAGTCCCCTCGGGCCTACTGCGCTCCAGTGCCTTCCTGCGCTATGCCGCCGCCTTCATGCTGGTGGATGCTGGCTATTACGTGCCCTACGTGCACCTGGTGCCCCACGCTCGGGCACGGGGCTGCGCCGACTACCGGGCCGCCTCAGTGGCTTCCACAGCCTCGGTGGCTGACCTCTGCGGGCGTGTGGTAGCTGGCTGGCTGGCTGACCGGTGGGCTGCAGGGCTGTTGCGGCAGCTGGCGCTGTGGACAGCACTGACAGGCGCCGCGTTGGCACTGCTGCCCCTGCCAGGGAGCTGCCCAGGGCTGGCCCCCGCAGCTGCAGCCTATGGGTTCATCGCCGGCGCCGTAGCCCCACTGCAGTATGCCGGGCTGGCTCAGGTGGTGGGCGCCGGGCAGGTGCTGGGCGCCGTGGGCTGGATGCAGATGGCCGAGAGCGCCGGATCGCTGGTGGGGGCACCACTGGCTGGTAAGGACCTTCTAGGCCCCACCCAGGGAACCCAGATATCAGGTTCCTTACACCTCCTGCTCTACCTACTTAGAGAACTCAGGCGTCTGGGCTCTTAGCCCTCTTTGCTGAAGCATTTTAGGTAGCACATTATCCCCTTAGACCCCCTGCTATTACATCTTCTGGGTTCTAGGTAACTCAAGCCATTGCCCCACGTAACCTTGAACAACGGGGATCCTGGGATGTTCCAGCCACAACCTATCCAGGCTCTAATCACACGAGGTCTTCTATATAGCACAAAGCATTGCTTAGTCCCTCAATGTCACAGCATCTTGTGGGTTCCAGGTCACGCATAATGGTGCCCCACTTGATCCAATTATCCAGAACAGTTGGGGATCTGGAGTGTTCAAGCCCAATCCAGGCCCTAGATGAGCCATGTGATATGTTCCAGGTAACACAAAGCATTGTTTTCTTAGCAACCCTCTATGGTATCTTCTGGGTTCTACGTAACTCAAGACACTGCTCTGCACTGTCCCATTATACAGAATAATTGAGGTCCTAGGGTGTTCAAACCATGACTGTCCATGACCCAGAGGACACATGGGATACATTGAAACAATGAAACGTTCTAGGGAGCACAATGTCATCTGCGCCCACCCGAACTGTGCCCTGGGTTCTAGGGAGGACAGCACAAAGGTTTGTTCTCTTAGCCCATCACTATGGCATCTTTTGGGTTCTAGGTAACTCAAACGATACTCTGCATTATCCAGAACAAGGTGCCTCCTGGGATATTCAGCCCAGGTCTTAGGTCCAATGCACAAGGTGTTCTAGGTAGCACATTGTTCTTTCAGACCACTGCTATTACGTTTTCTAGGTTCTAAGTAACTCAATATGATGACCCCCACATAATGTAGAATAATGGAGTCCAGGGATATTCCAGGCACAATCTATCCAGGCCCTAGATAACACACGAGGTGTTCTAGGTACCGCAATGCATTGTCCACTTAGCCTACCACCATCATGGCATCTTGTGGGTTCTGGTTCACCCAAGATGATGCCCCACATTATCCAGAACAGTGGGGGTTCTGGAATGCTCAAGCCCTGAACAAGCCATGTGATGTGTTCTAGGTAGCACATCACTGTAGCCCACCCAAGCCGTGCCCCAGGTTCTAGGTAGCGCTGGGGGCACATTCTAGGTCATGCATGGCTCTTGTTACATTCCAGGCTGGCTGCGGGACACCACAGGTGACTACATGGCCTCCTTTGTGGCCGCTGGCGCCTTCCTGCTGGCTGGCAGCTGCCTTCTCCTCACGCTGCTAGACTTCTTCCCCTGCCACAAGGACTCAGGGGCCGAGGATAGGACAGGGGGGCAGGCTGAGAGGGTCCTGCCCTGCTGTCTGCCCCACCGGGGCAGTTTGGAGGTCGCAATCCAGGTCAGCTAGCAGAAGAGAGAGGCCATGGGGTGATGTCCTTGTGATGATGGACTTCTCCTTGAGAACCCACAGATGTCTGGACCCAGGCCTCCCGATGACGTCAGATGGCCCCCAAGATGCAGCTGCCTCTGGGGTGGGGAGGCGGCCACATATAACAGTGACTCCTAGCTTTCCCTCTGTTGCCTGTTCACGGAACGTCTCTAGATTTTCTCCGAGCTGCTGGCATCCTCCCACCAAGTCCCAAGCCTCTTTTGTTGCGTCATTAATCCCAGCAATAATGCTGCGGGGGACATGGTCACAGCTGCAGGAAGTGGGAGGGGGTGGGACTGACTGCAGTGACTGGGTGGGGGGGGTGGAGGGCAGGGGGGTTGGCTACAGAAGCTTGGGGTCCTGTCTTCACATATCCCCCAGCTGGGGTCATCTTGTTGGTACTGAGATGCAGCCAGCTCTAGGGCGAGTTATGGCTGGGATCCAGGTCACTCCATTTTGGGATCAATGCTTGTATTTTCCTATTAGATCCTCTGCACTTAAACTTTCCCGGCAATCTAGAATGTTCTAGAACAGGAGCCACTGGCTGCACTCACAGAAACAAACTGCTCCAGGAGACACTGGTTGTCCAGTTTGGGTTCTAGGTAGCCCAACAGGAGTGAATCCTGGAGAGCACTAATATGATATGAATCAAGGCTATGTCCCAATGTTCTAGGTAACACAACTGAATCATACCTACATTGGCTAGCAATCTAGGTTCATTCAAGGCACACAGGCCAGTCTACATGGTATGTTCTAGATGACTCATAGCAATACACATGTATGAATCAACACTATGCCTGTATGTTCTAGGTAACACAACTAGATCATGCCTACACCAGCTAGCGTTCTAGGTTCAAGGCAGGCTAGTCTACATGTGGTGTTCTAGATTATTCCTAACAATACATATATATGAATCAACTCCATGCCTCTACAATCCAGGTAACAACTGGATTGCACCCGCTGGCTAGTGTTCTAGGTTTGTTTTAGGCCTGTAGAGCAGTCTACACAGTGCATTCTAGACAGCTGTTAACAATACGCATATATTAATCAACATAACTCTACGTTCTAGGTAATACAACTGGATCACACCGACACTGGATAGTGTTCTAGGTTCATTTTAGACACACACAGCAGTCTACATAGTGCATTCTAGATATAGCCTAGCAATACACATATGAATCAACTCCACACCACTGCATTCTAGGTAACACAACTGGATTACACACCAACTTATGCTCTAGGTTTGTTTTAGGCATGCAAGGTAGTCTACATGGTACCTTCCAGAAGACTCTTAACAATACACACATATAAATCAACATGCCTCTACATTCTAGGTAACACAACTGGCTCACACCCACACTGGCTAGCATGCTAGGTTCAAGGTTCTTGATGTCAGTCAGGGTACTCATAGATCTGGATACAACCAGCTACAGGGAATACTACCTCTGTATGTTCCAGGTATCACATGTAAGATGCTCAAAGATCTAGACAGCCATCACCAGCTACAGACAATAATATCTTTGTATGTTCTAGATATCACATATAGGGGACTCAGCAATCTAGATGCCCACAACTATAGTCAGTGCTATCTTTGTATGTTCTAGGTATCACACGTAGGACACTTGGGCACCTAGATACCCACAACCAGCTGTGCCCAAAGCTGTTACTAACTCAGCATATTCTACATGTCACAAATCCTAGAAATCCATAACCAAATATACCAGCTCTGAGTTCTAGGTAACACAACTGTGCTCCTTGGGTTCTAGATAGCCATCACATCAATCTATCCAGGTCTGGCACGTTCTAGGTTTCCTTTGTGTTGTATCAGGGACTTTTTCATAGTTGGAGCCTTGGTCTTCGGCACATTCCCAACTCCAGACTGCTCTCCATGTCCTCCCAGAGGATGCTGGGAATTTGAGCCCTCCACCAAGAAAGGAGAGATGGCTCCTGGGGTGCGATGGATGCAGGTGCCTGTCCACCTGTGTATCTAGGGCACATGACGGGACTAGAAGGAAATGGGAGGCCCTGGTCCATGACAAAGCAACACTGAAGCTGCCCCCTAGAGCGCTGGAGGCTTACCTAGGCAGACATAGATCCAGACTCACTCCAGGTGTGTCAGTGGGCTTATCTCTGGGGGGTTAATCCACTCTACTTCAGGCCATGGCAAGCCGGATCCACTCCAAATCAGTCAAGCCAGAAGTGTGGATCTGAACCCAGAGATCAAAAAACGAGGCCAGCTCCACCCCAGAGGTGGCCGCATGAGGGGACCAGCACAACCAGCCAGGGTCTTTCCAGTTGGTTTATTGAATGACAGCTTTGTACAGGTGCCCTCTGATTCCTTCTGTATTGGGGGGGCTAGGACCCCCTCCAGCCCTGCCGGTGCGCCCCTCACTCCTAACCTACAGCCCCGCTTCCAACCACCCCCCTTCAAAATGGGAACTCCCATTCAATCTCCAGTGAATCAAGGGAGGAGACTGGTCCTGAACACATAATAAATAGAAGGGGTGGGTGGAAGATGAAGGAGGTGGAGTCTAAAACAAGGGGGAGGGGCATAAGAACCCCCCACAGTGCTCAAAGCATAGGAGAGAAAAATCTGCAGTCAGGGTCAGGTCCATCCCTGGAGTCCCAGACTTCTGGAGAAGGGGGTGGAGCCAGGAGAACATATGGGCAGGGCCTGGAGGCACCCTCCCCTCCGTGCCAGGAGAGAGGGTGGGGCTACAGCGTGGTGAGTTTGAGGTCGCGTCGGGTCAGCAGCTCGGGGTTGTCCGAAGCCATAAGAGAGAAATCCCGGAAAATGTCGAGGTAGGTCTCATCACCTGGGAGGAGCAGGAGCGTTGGGGTGGTGGTGGGGCAGGGGGCCTCCTCACTCCCGAACCAAAGCCCCATCAGACCTGCTGCTGCCCCTCACTCCTGACCTGCAGCCCCCCGCCCCCCCAGCCCTGCCAGTGCCCCTCACTCCTGACCTACAGCCCCCTGCTCCCCCCAGTGCCCGTCATTCCCAGTCCGCAACCCCCTGACCTCCCAGCCCTGTAGATGTCCCTTACTCTCAAATCAGCAGACTCCTGACCTCCTTGGCTGTGCCGGTGCCCATCACTTCCAACCCGCAGCCCCCTGCCTATCACTCCCAACCCGCAGCCCCCCCCAGCTGTGCCGCAGTGACACTCACCTGCTTGTCCCTGGGCAACTTCTGCTTCTCTCATCTTTGCTAGCCGCAGCCTGTGGTTGGCGGGGAGGGGGGAAGAAATGAGATGCCAGCTTCTCACCCCGTTCTTGGAGGGTCCCTGTTACACTGAGCTGTGCTCCACCCCAGAGCTGGCCGCATCTCAGATTCAGGCGAGGGACCAGCCACCCCCAACTGTACACAATCCCCAGGGGCAAGACACTCACAGGGTGACGATGTCAGCGTTGGTCATGTCCATGGCAATGGAGAGCGGGTCTTTGCCCTCCACGTCCATGGCGTTGATATTGGCCCCTCGCTTAAGGAACAGGCAGGCCAACCTATCGAAGACCAGGGAGAAGGGGCGGGAGAGGTAAGGCCTCTCATCCAGCAGCTGACCCAGGTCTGCTCTGCTTAGCATGGAACCAAGAGGCCCTGAAACCAGTCTCCCATCCAGGCACCAACCTTGCCTGCACCTGCTTAGCACAGGATGGCCCAGCAGGCCCTGGGTGCTGGCATCTGAGTGACAGGCAGGGGCTAGAGGTCACAGGTCAGAAGTTAGGGGCACCGGCAGGGCCGGGAGGGCTGTGGGTCAGGAGTGAGGGACATCGGCCAGCCTGGAGGGGGAAAAGGGGCTGTGGGTCAGGAATGAGGGGCACCACTTTGGGGGTGCATGCAGGTCAGGAGTGAGGGGTAACAGCAAGGCTCAGGGGGCTGCAGGTCGGGAGTGAGGGGCACCGGCACCAGCAAAAGCAAACCGCACCCCCCCCCACATGCATGCGCGCGCGCACACACACACACACACACACACACACACACACACACACACACACACACACACACACACACACACACACACA